TTAGGGGCAAAACTGCTTTGTTTGATGCTGTCCAACAAAATAACAACGAGAGTATGGTTCGTGCATTGGTTGATGCTGGTGCTGATGTCAATATAACTGATGAAGAAGACAGAACTCCTTTGTTTTATGCTGTGCAACAAAGAAACAACGAGAGTGTGGTTCGTGCATTGATTGATGCTGGTGCTGATGTTAACATGACTGATAATGATGGCGAAACTGCTTTATTTCATGCTGTCCAACAAAGTAACAACGAAAGTGTGGTTCGTGCACTGATTGATGATGGTGGTGCATTCGTCAATGTGCGTGATGTTTATGGGAGAAAACCATTGTTTTACGCTCTCGACTGTCCAAAGTCAGCTCGTATTCTTGTTAAAAAGGGACAAAAACAATTCTTTCATTTGAAGGATAACTGTAATTGCAACATTTTGGACTTTTTCGTTGAAAGACATTTATTCAAAGATGATATTAAAGACTTTCTTTCACAAGATATCCCTGGGGACTTTTTCCAATTGCTTGAAGAATGTGGAGTACAGAAAATAACATTTGCTAAAGCAATTTTAAATATGGTTTTCTGTAAGTTTTCTTTGATGTTCCTAGAAAGGTCAAAGTTAGAGCAGAAGAGAGATATGCCCTTTAGATGTTGTAGTCAAATTCATATTACTAAAGCCCTGAAACAAGCTAGTCAGTTTATTGATAATCATTGGGAAGTGGAATCTTTGATTTGGCTGGTAAATGRAAAATGTACAAATGGAGAAAARGTAMCAGAAGCTTTACGATTATTGGTTGAGTTAGGTGCCGATCCTAATAGTGTTGATTCATATGGTAATACAGCCCTTCACTATGCGACTTGTTTACCGTTGATTGGTGTGCCTCAAAAGATCGTGAAGGAGATTTGTTTTCAGCTGGAGAATTTTGGTGTACAATTAAACTTGAGAAATCATGAGAATCAAACACCTCTTATGTTTTGTTTGTCTCAAAACAAACTTGACAGATTAAGAGATAATCAAACTACATCTTCTGCGATTCAAGCAGTGGTTGAAGTCTGTAACGTTTTGTCAAAACACGGATCTAGCAGTGAAGAAAGGTCTCGAATTGGAAAAACTGTTTTTCATTTAATACTAGAGCTTTTCCAGCAAGGACTTTGTTTAAGTGATAAGACGGTAAGACAAGATGTCATGCATGAAACAATGAAGCTTTTACAATTATTTTCATCTGCAAAAGTAGCAAAAACACAGATTATTAACATACGTGATGCTGATCTCAACTCACCACTGCACCTTTGGGCATCACTAGAATTACCATCACCTCAAGACTATACCAGTAATGTTACTAAAGATCTCACATTTGACAAATTCTTACAAACATTGTTAAACTACCTCGTAAGATGTGGAGTAAAACTGAATGTCAGAAATGGTGC